GAAAAAAGCTGTGTTCAACTTTTTTTTTAACCTTTACTGAATATTTCTTGAAAACTAGCTATTCAAATTTGCTCAATTTTTTTTTATTTTAATTCTGTGAACTCATAGAATTAAAATAAAAGAATTTTTATCAAATTCTGATAGTTGGTTGTCGAGAAATATTTGTTTAAACCTCAAAGAAGAAAAAATTTACTAATTTTTTTTCTCAAAATATTTAAAGTTTTTTAAACCTTTTAATGATGATTTCTTGATAGCCACTGAACAAAATTTAATGAACTTTTTTTTATTTTAATTTTATAAGACTAAAGAATTAAAATAAAAAAAATTTTACTAAATTCGATCAAGTAGTTATTGAGAAATCATCACTTGAAGCTTTAAAAAACTTATCTTTATATGACCTGAATTCTTGGATCATTGTAAGGGTCAGCAGGCCGGAGGATGATTGTTGCTATCATGTGACTCGAAATCTTCGTGGTCACTCTGGTAGATTCTGTTTCATATAGAGTAACCATATATTGTGCTGAGGTTACAGGTGAACAAGACCAACCTGCCAAAGCCCGAAGAAGAAAAACAACCTATACATGAATCTTCAACAAATGCTTGATGGAACAGGTTATTTTTCTCTTTCTGGGAAACTGCCAAGCCTTTTTTAGCTGTTAATTTAAATAAAAGGTACTTTCATCTGTAAATATCATGGAATCCTAGTTAAAATCCTTATGCTTCTTCGCCCACAACAGCGTTTTTTTCGATGCTTCTCTCCGATCAAAGGTTTAGAGAGTTTTTTGTAATGACGGGCTCTGCCTTCACCAAGGTGCCATTGAATAGTACATATATAAATGTCTATGTTCTTCTTTAGCAGTTCCCAGCAGATTTCTGAGGCGGTAATATCTTCGTTTTCTTTTGCCAGCCCCAAAATCCGGTTGTCTTGCTTTTTGGTAGTGGCTTTTTACGACCTGACCTTGGTTTGTCACTTAGGTCCTTGTCTTCTTGCCACCTTTTTACCCAATGTCTCACTGCTTTTTTGTTACAGTGGACCTGCTTTGCTGTCTCACGCATTGAGAGCTTGGGACCCTTTGGGTGAATGGCCAAAAATATGATTTTATATCATTGATACAAAAGAAGCAGCATTTTTTGGGCTGAAAATTGGGTGTATAGGCATCGTGGGTATTTTTACTATAAACCCTGCCGTGGAAGGTTAGTATGATCTACAAATGCGATGTAATATCCCTGTGTGAAATTTCATGCTTCTAAGCAAGTTCTTTTAAAAATTACCGGTGCAAAAAAACTTTTGTCAGGGACTGTATTTCTTGATTCTTGTTTTCTTCTCTTTAGATCTTCATTTGTTCTTCTAGGTATTCTTCTTCGGATTTCATGTAGGTTATCATTTCTATTATTCAGCCGGTAAGCCTCATGTACTAGTTGATCTGGAATTCCGATGGTCGATCTGCTTGTCATGCGTTTACTGCGCCAATTTCATCAATCTACTATTTAGCCCGTGACAACAGTATATTAATCCTTTTTAAGTCTGCGAATAGTTGCGAATAAGGATTTATCTTTGTGTAATATATAGTTATTGAATGTGAAGCAGACAATAATTACTCTTTTAACATGAATCATGTAGGAAGTATTGTACGGTAAAGCTGTATTGTGTAATTTAAGTCAAATGAATATCAAATAGTACAAATAATATGTAATAATTTTCGACCACGAAGTTCCACAATGTTATGTAACGTGATGAAATAATGTTGGAATAATACGGTCAACAGAACTCTGAAGTTTTTAAAAAATGACGAGAAGATTATAAATTTTAACGGAGCTAAAAATACTTAAGCATATCAAAAACTTTAAAATCTTTGACATAATTGCAAACAGTGGCAGCAAACTACAGTAATTAGTTTATATAATCAAAATCGCATTTTATCTCAGAACTGTGATAATCAATCCTTAAGATAATATCTAGTTAAAAAATAAGAATAAAGTGAAAATTAGCCTTTTAAATTTTCTAAATGAAATTAAATAATACCATTTAGCCATTATCAAGAGACTATATTAACATACGTAAAAAAAAAAAACCTTTAAGAAACATCCACAGGTCCAAAGCATAAATATCAGATACCCAATAGCTAACGATTGCTAACTATTTGCGCCAAAAATCTGATCTATATTGGCAATATGTCAAAACATATCAGAAGCATATCGGGTAAAAAATAATTATCCGGCAAACTCATATGATCATGAAAAAATTTCTTCTTGTTATTTTTTTCATGTGTTACTATGTAATTATGTTTATTCCAATATTCAAAATTAAAACACAGCGAGCGACTCCTTACCAATCATGATCATAAATTGCCGGATAACACCAATATTGGGCAAATTGTCGAATACGGTAATTTGGCAAATGATTGGCTAACGTGCCGCAAAGCGGCACGTGCCCATTTCCCAAATTACCGTTATTCGACAATTTTTGCCCAATATTGTATACTTACTTGCACCCAATTTTTTTAGGAGAATTTGGCAAGATATCATGAATAGCGACATCCCTAGAGGCTCTAGCCATCTCTCTTAAAATATTTTGGGCAAGGTTCGGTCTGGTTAGTTGATTTTGATAAGCTGGTAGATTATCGTGATTAACAGATTCTCTATCGATTATTTGATTGTCTTCAAAATGGTTTAAGTCTAATATAGTAGTTATCTTGGTACTTTAGAGAGAATTTGTTAGTAGTAGAGATTTGCATTTGTGCTTTTTAATTTGAACAAATAGTGAAGTTCAATCTTACAGTAACTACCAATTGTGAAGGTGTTACTAATACCTTTAACACTAAAATTAAGCTATCAACTAATTTAGACTCTCAAAATAATATATCTTACAGCTTCAAGACTCTAAAACTTTGACTTAGTAGGCTTCAAAGAGAGGCATGGTAGACTTGGTCTAAGTTATCAAGGTTCTTTCAGGTCATAGAATATGTATATAACCTTGGACATGTATATCTAGCTATATACAAAACTTCTGTATCCTTTTTTCTATATAATTGTTTTAATTGTATTTTAATTCTTACTCTTAATCCTCCTGGCTTTAGAATGTTTTTGGAATCTTCAGTTACATGTTATGTTACTTGGATGGCTACAGTAATCAGAAGTTTAATATTCAATTTTAATATAAGATTTATATCACAGGTAAATCTATCAGAGATCAGTTTAACTAATGTCATGGGTAATTAATCAGTAGTGATCAGATTTTCAATTAGCTAGTAGTGACACAAGTTTATGAGATCATGAGAAATTGGCTGATCGATGTAATTAATATGTGTTAATCACTAATTTGATTGTTTTACTAATTAGTGATAACAATACATTATGAGAAAGTTAAGTATTTCTTATATAAGGGTATTGAATATGAATTTGGATATTTGTATTTTTATTAATCAAATTGACACTTAAGGTATTATCAGGTTACAAATAATTTAGGTTCAACAATTATAGCGATTTTGGGTCAAATAGAAAGATTATTATGAGAACCACTTTTACTAATGATGATTTCGAAGTTTTGAGTTTTAGAACTCTATCGAATTATACTTTATTTAGCAGTGAGCAAAGAGCTCTTATATAGACAAAATTACATACTAAGAAAAAAATAAAATTAAATTGATTTTATCTTTTGTATCCTTTTTTATCTTTTTTATCTATTTTATTATTTTTATCATTTTTGTCTTTTTAATCTTTGTCCCACCTTATATTACCACAAATAGCAATTATTGCTGAAAATAGAAAAAATGTAATAACAAAAAATAAAAATAGAAATAGCACAGCCCACATTCGGGTGGTGCTGTGCCTAGTTTGCCTATCACAACATACATTGCGTACTGTATATTAAGCCTAGAGGTCTTACTTGGATCAAAAAATAGTGACCCGGGTCAAACCCAACCTGAAATTTTTTGACCCAGGTTGTGACCCGAGTCAGATAGGTTATATAAGTTTTATCTTGTCTGCCTATTACTTGTATGTGAACTTTAAAACAACTTGAATTTCTAAGAAATATACAATTATGAGTGTTGCAGAGGAAAATCCGGAAGTGAATATCTTAAGTAAAATACAGGAATGTAGTAAGAACCAGGAATGTGGTGAACGCAGTAAAAGAAAGTGTGTGTTTCATGATTAATTAATAAAAGGACATTTTAACATATTGTAGTTAGCTAAAGTGTGAAGCATTATATGATTTTATTTTTACTTTTTTAATTTATTTTTTCAATTTATTTATTTATTTTTTATTCTATTTTTTCAATTTATTTATTTATTTCCTAATCTATTTTTTATTTATTTTCTAATTATTTTTTATTTTAACATTTTTTTATTTATTTATTTTATTTATTTTTCATTAAAAGCAGTAGATAAGTCTAAATTAAACTAAAAAAATATGTAATGCTAAGAACGTTTTAAAAGGTGATTTATATAAGTCCAGATTGTAAATTATACCCAGATTATAAATAGTATATATCCGTATTTATAAAAATGTATTCAGGCTCTAACTAAAGTTTGTTTTTTTAGCGATATTTTATTTGATATTCAATAACCTATCTGACCTGGGTCAGCTCAATTTTGACCCGTAACCCGCATAACCCATCAAATTTACTGACCCGTACGGGTCAGCCTGACCCGGGTAAGACCTCTAATTAAGCCGGATTCATTCTAATATCACGCGTGTAACGCTTTTCGGTGTATAATTTTGCAGACGAACATCCATTTGTAAAATTTTCTATATCAACTCTTATTAACACCGTATGTATCGTACACTTAAATCAGATAAATATAAGGAAATACGAAAATCTCATTGTACAAATATAATACGTAGCAGATATTTACATATCAACTCTCCTCATATGGAAGAAACAGTAAATATTAGTAATCATCGAGGTACTGTTGCTGATTTGTGTCTCAATTTTAATATTTATATCCATTCTTTATGATGCAGCATTTCCTCATTTAATAAAGTTCGCATTCATTCTTTATGATACGGTATTTCCACATTTAAAAAGATCAATTTGATAATTACACTCAACATCTTGTTCTTGTGCTAGAATCAATTCGTTCTTTATGACATTCCACATTTGGCAATCATAATGATCTATTTTTTGGGGTAAATTTATTTTACGCCATTTAGATAGCACAAAAAGGTGTTACCCCAGGGCGGATCCCGGGTTGATTATTAACGTCATTGCCGCAATTACTGCAACATGTAGTTCTGTAATTAATCGTAGCTACCGTAAAAAAAATTATCCTCGATTTTGATTGGCCAACGGCCGAGGATCTTCAAGATTTGGCCAACATTACACTAATTTCCGGCCGTAATTACCTTTTTGTTATTTTTGTTATAAAAATAGAATTTTTTTTAAAAAAATAAGCCCACATTATAGTAAAATTGGCCCAGGAACAACTTTCACTTAATAGGCAGCTGTGATTTCATCAGTAATAAATAAATATCACCGCAGAAAATTATCGTTCCTGTTGCGGCAGCTAGGGTTAATTAGTATATTGAAAAGAGCATCGTGTTAGAATTGTCGCAACCCCAGAGTTCTAGATTTTACTTTTAGAAACAGACAATATTTTATAAAATTCTTATTGGCTATTTATGAAAATGAAATTTTGGAAATCTAACAATTCAAGGTTTTCCCTTTGCGACGCTCATATGCGTATACCAACATTGCTATTGCTGAAATGAAGGCCAAGTGACAAAGCTGCGACAGTGATGTTATCATCATTCTGAACTTTTGGGTATATTTTTCTAACATAAAATCGGTTAACTATTCGTTTGTTGGACTAAAGAAATATAGAATCTTGTATTCGATGCAATCAGCTAATAAGAAATGATACTATGACAGCCTTTATTGTCATTCGAATTAATTCTTGTTTTGGATCTAAATGGATGCTAGGTTTTAAATTTAAAATGACGGAAAATAAAACCAAAACATTAATTTATTTTATAAATTCATTGTTAAAAAAAGCTTGAAATTTAAGAAATAAATATTTTATTTTATGTTATTTAATATATTTGATTTTCTTTGATCACAGAAATATTTCTCTCTAGATACAGAAAATTTGAGATTCTTTTAATAAAAAGAAATAACAATAACAATAATTTAATAATTAAAATGTTCAATTTAAGACGACAATGGTAGCTATATAACAAAAAATTCTACAATCAAGGATTTTAAATAAATATCAATCTTCAAGACATATTTCTAACAAGTAATTTAAGAAAAGTAATATCTAAAATTCAAAAATTTAATTCGTGAATATATAATGTTATTCTTGTAAGTTTCGTGATTTTTTTTTTTTTAAAAAAAAGAAATTATACTAACTGTTGAACGGTCTGAAAATTTCATGCACCAAAGTCGTCAAACTGAAAAGCACAATTTATCTACAATAATTAAAGTTAAAATTTAGCACAGTAAACATATATTATGAAATAATAATTACAACGATTACAGTTTATATTCACCTCCTCCTTCTCACTAATAAGATAATTAGATTGAGGAAAAATTATAAACGATCAGTAAGTGCATAACTAAGGCGAAATACCAAATTTGAAGGCAATTACACTTACTTCCTATTGGTGTGAAATGAGAAAATTATGAATTCATTTAGAAGGTGTTTAGAGAAGTGATATTCAAAATAATTAGCTAGTACAGTATAAATAAATTATAAATAATGCTAACCACCATCTATTATTTAAAAAGATTAAGTATATTACAAAAGAAATATTAATTTAGAAAGAAGCGATATTCAAAATAATTAGCTATGGTGCAGGAAATCTATACTCAACAGTTACACGAAGTGTTTCAATTTTTTAAATGGTTATAACTTTTTATC